TCTGTGGATGTAACCTCTATCTACCCCCCCACTCCCACCTCCTCACCCTCAAAATTCCCACCCCCTGGGGCGTCCAGCCTTCATGAGGTCAAGGTTCTCTTCTTCCACCTATGCCCAGCAGGGCCCTCCACTCTTACATATTCAGCTAAAGCCCTGGATCCCTCCCTAAGTGCTCCCGGGCTGGTGGTTTAGACCCTGGGAGCTGTGGTTGGTTGGTAATGTTGCTCTCCTCATGGTGCCGCAAATCCTTTCAGCTCCTGCAGTCTTCACTCTAACTCCTCCATTGAGAACCCCATGATCAGTTCAATGGCTAGTTGTGAGCATCTGCCTCTGAATATGTCAGACTCTTGAAGAGCTCTGAAGAGACATCCATATCAGGCTCTTATCAGCATGCACTTCCTGACTTCCACATCAGCATCCACCTTTGGTGACTGCACATGGGATAGAAACTCAGGTGGAGTGGTCTTCAGACGGCCCCTCCTTCAGTTTCTGTCCCTCACTTTGTCTCCATATTTGCTCCCTTGAGTATTTTGTTGCTCCTTCTAAGAAGGACCGAATCACCCCCACTTGGTCTTCCTTCTTTATGAGCTTCATGTGGCCTGTGAGTTGCATCTTGGGCATTTCAAGGTTCTGGGCTAATATCCAATAATCAGTGAGTGAATACCATGTGTGTTCTTTTGTGATTGGCTTACCTCACTCAGGATGATAATTTCTAGTTCCATCCATTTACCTAGGAACCTCTCGAATTCATTGTTTTTAATAGCTTAGTAATAGTCCATTGTGTAAATATACCACATTTTTTGAATCCATTCCTCAGTTGAAGGACATCTGGGTTCTTTCCAGCTCCTGGCTATTATAAATAAGGCTGCTATGAACATAGTTGAGCATATGTCCTTGTTATATGTTCGAGCATCTTCTGGGTATATGCCTAGGAGTGGTATAGCTGGATCCTCAGGTAATGCTATGTCCAATTTTCTGAGGAACCTCCACACTGATTTCCAAAGTGGTTGCACCATCTTGCAGTCCCACCAACAATGGAGAAGTGTTCCTCTTTCTCCACACCCTCGCCAGCATCTACTATCACCTGAGTTTTTAATCTTAGCCATTCTGACTGGTGTGAGATGGAATTTCAGGGTTGTTTTGATTTGCATTTCCCTGACGACTAAGGATGCTGAACATTTCTTTAGGTACTTCTCGGCCATTTGAGTTTCTTCCATTGAAAATTCTTTGTTAAGCTCTATACCCCATTTTTTAATAGGGTAATTTGGTTGTCTGGAGTCTAATTTCTTGAGTTCTTTATATATATTGGATATTAGCACTCTATCAGATGAAGGATTGGTAAAGATCTTTTCCCAATTTGTTGGTTGTCGTTTTGTCCTATTGACAGTGTCCTTTGCCTTACAGAAACTTTGCAATTTTAAGAAGTCCCATTTGTCAATTCTTGATCTTAGAGCATATGCGATTGGAGTTCTGTTCAGGAACTTTTCTCCTGTGCCCAAGTATTCGAGGCTCTTCCCCACCTTCTCTTCTATTAGTTTCAGTGTATCTGGTTTTATGTGGAGGTCCTTTATCCACTTAGACTTGAGCTTTGTACAAGGGGATAAAAATGGATCAATTTTCATTCTTCTACATGTTGTCCTCCAGTTGAACCAGCACCATTTGTTAAAAATGCTGTCCTTTTTCCACTGGAAAGCAGGAGATGATGAAGAGGCCATGGAGAGATGCTGCTTACTGTCTTACTTCCACTGGCTTGCTCAGGTCTGCTCTCTTATAGAACTCAGAACCATCAGTCCAGAGATGGCACCACTCAAATAGGTTGGGCCCCCCTCATTAATAACTAAGAAAATGCTTACAGTTGGATGTTATAGAGACTGTTTTTTTTTTTTTTTTTTGGTTTTGTTTTTTGAGACAGGGTTTCTCTGTGTAGCCCTGGCTGTCCTGGAACTCACTCTGTAGACCAGGCTGGCCTCGAACTCAGAAATCCACCTGCCTCTGCCTCCCAAGTGCTGGGATTAAAGGCAGGCACCACCACCGCCTGGCTAGAGGCATCTTTTCAGTTGAAGTTCCCTCCTTTCAGATAGCTCTAGTTTGTGTATCAAGTCGACATAAAACTAGCCAGCACACTACATAACCTGTCCAGAATCACAGAAACAGTCAAAGGCAAAGGCTAATTCCAACCCAAACAATTTAGAGTTCTTGCTTTTTATTACTTCATATTATAAACCCATCCCCTCACCAAAGGAGTGTTAATTCTGACAGCATCACCAGAGTTTCTGTGCAATAGATGAGGGGGGATGCTTCTTCCTTGAGTACAGAAAGTGTTGAATGTTCTCAGGCACTTCATAACTCTGAAAGGCGCGATTAATGTTATTAGTGTTCTTATAGTAAGTGTTCCTTCTAATTTTTTTTTGTAAATAAGCAAAGACAGTAAGGTTGGGCAACATGACTCCTATTCAGCAACTATTGGTCTCTTCCTGCTGCCTGAGCAAAAGAATATCAGTCAGCTGTATTTCTACACCAGCATCAGCCTTCTTAAACACCCACTGACACTGAGAACACAACATACTGATTATAGCTGGTTGCCAGTCTTCTGGACTCAGCCATGGCTGTTAGGAACAGATGAGTCAGATTTTCTGGTGTTATGAGCCTCAGTGAACTCCACGTTAGGCCGTCTTAAACTTTTCCCACTCTTGCCCCCTTTTCACCTGAGAAGCTTTTATGTAGACCTAAGAACTCAGGTATGTAAAATAGGCATGCAAATTAAACATATAACAAAGTTTGAGGGAGCTTATTTATTTATTTAGGTTCTTTGAGAAAGGGTTTCACTGTGTAGCCCTGGCTGTCCTGGAACTCACTTTGTAGACCATGCTGGCCTCAAACTCAGAGATCTGCCTGCATCTGCAACCCAAGTGCTGAGATTGGAGAGTGTCACCACCACCTGGCTATTGTTCTCATCTTTTTTTTTTTTTTAAAGCAAACAAATAAACTCATTTTCTTTCTTTCTTCCTTCTTTCCTTCCTCCCTCCCTCCTTCTCTCTCTCTCTCTCTCTCTCTCTCTCTCTCTCTCTCTCTCTCTCTTTCTTTCTTTCTTTTTCTTTTTGGTTTTTCAAGACAGGGTTTCTCTGTGTAGCCCTGGCTGTCCTGGAACTCACTCTGTAGACCAGGCTGGCCTTGAACTCAGAAATCCTCCTGCTTCTGCTTCCCAAGTGCTAGGATTAAAGGCAGGCACCACCACTACCAGGTGTAAGAAACTCATTTTCAATGATAAGGATAAAAGCAAATTTGCATGCTACTAAAATGGAGGTGCATGTGTATGAGTCCATATTTATGTGTTTTGCACGTGTTCATGGTATCCTCAGAGACCAGAAGTGTGATTAGGATCCCAAGATGCTGGAGTTATAGTTGTGCAGGACCCCATGTGACTGCTGTGTTTGATAATCAGATCCTCTGGAAGACCAACTGTTCTTAACTCTTAAGCCATGTTTCCTGCCCATAAAGCTAACATTTTAGCACGATATAATTCAAGGGTATACTGATTTAGTACACGCTGAGAAGTAATGGTAGAAAAACATTAAATTCTTTGTTTTCCATAATTAAACCATTATGTTTCTGAGAGAAAAGCAATCCAGAAAAATAGACAATGAATGCATGCTCAGGGTCACTTAGTGAGCTGCTTGGAAGGCACAATCTTGTGACGTCTTTTCTGGTTTCGGAGCATCAGGTCCAAGGAAACTTTTCTCTCAAGTGAGCTTTTCCTGTCTTTCTGTTCTGTGAACTGAGGGGTCAACCTGAAAAGCAGCTGGGGCAGCAGAGAGTCGTGAGGGTAGATGCAGCAGTGCAAGTGCAGTCTGGCGGCTAAGCTGAGACAATGGCAAGACGCAGCAGCTAGACAGCCTAGGGCAGGCGCAGCAGCTGAACAGTTCAAAAGCAGCCCTGACTGGAAGAATGGCAGCGCAGTAAAAGGACAGCTGGAGAGAAAAGAGAGCAAGACCAGAAACTACAGTCCTGACAACTGGAAAGTTTCAGAGTTGTTAAATCTTAGGGGCCAAAGACCCTGGGTCAAGAGCTGTAGCTGCATTGTTGCTGCAAATCTCAATAACTAGGTAAGTCTGGAAGCTGTTAGCTAGCCATAGCCAAGAACTGGAGAAATCTCTGCTTCCTAATTCCATGCAAGAGCTGTTACAACTTTGTAGGGACAGGTGGATCTCTGTTAGTTCCAGTGATACACAGTGAGATTCTGTAATTAAAATAAAATTTAAAAATAACAACAAAAAAGGAGGAACACAGGGCCTAGAAACTAAAGGACCACCTCCTGCTGCCTCTCTGTTGTCTAAGCTGCCAAATACCAACTCTTGATGTGGGTGGACCGCGACACCGGCTAGGAGATGGAGGACACTTCTCCGTCTGTAAAAATAAGCCTGTCGATTTAAAGTGAGATACAAACAGTAAATGAGGTTTCAGTCAGTGAAGTTACACTTCATTTCTTTCTCTGTCCTCAGGTCCCATGTGAACCACTTCTGTCTCCCACATCCTTCCAGCCTTTTTGGTCTTCACCATCCGTCCCAAGCCCTTGCAAGGATTCTCCACCGACTCGCACCACCCCTTCCAGTTTTCTCTGACAAAAGTCAGCATCCTCTGTAGACTGTCTCTGTGGTGAAGTGCCAAGGAATCTGGATACTTAGGTCAGCCTGGAAGATGGTAGACAGAGCCAGAGCCAAGAGCTGGGGAAATCTTTGCTTCCTACTCTCAAAGCAAGAACTTTTACGACTTGTAGGGATAGGTAAGTCTCTGTTGAGTTCAGTCGGAGATAGAGTGAGATTCTGCCTGACTAAAAAGTGGGAACAGGACTGCGCTGCAGATGCTAATCTCCGCTGCGATGCCTGGCTAGACCAACCCGGGAAATTCTCGCAGATTAACTACTCAGCGGATCCCAGCCGCAGAGGTCCCCGATCTCTAGTCCCGCCCACACCACGCCCCCGAGCCTGCGCCTGGATGACGTCGTTTTTCCGCGCCAGGAAGAAGCAGGTGTGCCGACTTGTTTTGTGCGGGTCTTCCTCTGAGTGGCCCGGCACTATGAAGGAAACGCCGCTCTCCAACTGCGAACGCCGCTTCCTGCTCCGCGCAATTGAGGAGAAGAAGGTGCGAGGCCTGCGGTGTGGACATGGTGGTTTTGGATGTAGACTCGGGTTGTCCCTGGATTCATTGTCAGTTCTGCCTGTTGTGTGGTCGTGGTGTGGACTCGGGTGGTTCTCAGTGTGAACTCTGCCGAGCCTCAGGCTAGTGTCTAACCTTGGCTAGTTCCTTTGAGCCTCAGGCCAACAATATTCAGTGGCAGGGACGTTGGGAACCAGAACCAGACAGACACAGTTGCTACTCATGTTAAAGAAATAAATGATGTTTGCTTTATAGCGGCTGGATGGCAGACAAACGTATGATTACAGGAACATCAGGATCTCATTCGGAACGGATTATGGATGCTGTATTGTAGAACTGGGGAAAACAAGGTAATGGGATTCAAGTTAGATAATGCAACAGGAGGTGTGAAAATTACAACATACTGACTCGGTTGTTTACCGAGCAGCTCCGAAGTCCAAACATGCGTTTTTTTTAAAAAAAAAAAATCTGCTGAGAAATATGTTTCTTTAATGCCAGCCTTTTTAGTTTTGTGCTTACACTAACTTTCAACCACGAGTGCTTTCTGCTGTATGAGTATCATTGTTCTGTGTGACCTTTATAAATGATGTAGGCAGCTAACATTGATCACATAGTTTATCTGCATGTCTCATTTTCTGGTATGAGGTATGTATCGATCATGTCAGTAAGCCTCAGTTTCCCTTTTCTTCTCAAGTGATGTGAGAAATAAGAGATTTCCTTTCTGTCATCCTTTTATGTATACCAATATTTTTTTATTTCTACAAGAAATCTACTTACATTAAAATAACATTATTATTGTATATGTGCACTCCCCAGTTTACTACATTCTGTATATAATATCTGCCTCTTAAGTCACATCGTGTTATTTAGAGTAGGTTTTTTTTTTCTGTTTTAGATGTCTTCACCTTTTTTTTTTCTTTTAATTGAAAAGAATGTTCAGTTGACTGCTTTTTACCTTTACTTTTGCAGAGTCCTTGGACAGGTTTCCTGTGAGCTTGTTTCTCCAAAACTCAATAGGGCAACAGAAGGTATCCTCTTTTTTAACCTTGAGCTTTCTCAGATGGCTGCTCCAGCTTTTGAACCTGGCAGGTATCTTTCCTTTGTTAAGTTACTTTAGCCATAGAAGAATTTACCATCAGTGAAATATTGTTTTAATGCTCACAGTTGAAATTTATGCCATTAGTTCATTCTTATCTTCATAGGCAGTCAGATCTCTTGGTGAAGCTGAACCGACTCTTGGAAAGGTGTCTAAGAAATTCAAAATGTATAGACACTGAATCTCTCTGTGTTGTTGCAGGTGAAAAGGTGAGAAACATGCTCAAAATATCTTAATGAATACTGTTGATTCAGACACAATTGAAACAGAATTAGGAGCCTGGAATCCTTGCAGAGGGTTTGGGTTCAATTGCCAGCACTTACACGGCAGTTCACAACCATCTGTAACTGTAGTTCCAGAAGCTTCACTTAGAGTCTCTAGGGGCACCAGGCATGAGTGTGGTACATACATACATGCAGGCAAATGTGCCTACATGGAAAATAAAAGTAATTTTTTTTAAACATAATTAAATTTCAGATATTGGAATGCTTCCATTTATTTACATATTCTCAGTCTTTCAGCTGAGTCACGTAGAAAAGTTAACTATTAGTATTTCAAGTATTTGTTTTTCTTAAAATTAACTTCATTTTTACTGAATAAGCTGGAAGGATTAACTGTATACCTTTAAAAAAAATGTGCAGTATTACTTTCCCAGTGGCTATTGGTCATGAACCATTAGGATTTATTTTTGTATTAAATTCACTTTCAGGTTTGGCAGATCCGTGTAGACCTACATTTATTAAATCATGATGGAAATATTATTGATGCTGCTAGCATTGCTGCAATTGTAGCCTTGTGTCACTTCCGAAGACCTGATGTCTCTGTCCAAGGAGAGGAAGTAACACTGGTAAGCTTCCAGGGTTCCGATAAGAATTGTTCCTGTGAGCGAATGGATATCCTACGTGTGCCAACAGGTAGTCAGTCCATCATGGTGACATATGGCAGATAGCATTTAGGTCTATTCTACTTTTTGTTCACAAGACAAAAACTGCAAATGGTCAGAATTGCCCTAGAAGTTTCAAGTTCTCTCACAGAATTGTCTGTCAATAATAACACAACCCAGTTTTTTCTATAATAGAACTGTGGCTCTTTCTTTGGATTGACTACTAGAGGAAATGGTTGGTCTCTTTGTAGGTCAGCATGAGAGGCCTGTAGTACCTGAAAAGGACTGAGGCTTACCAGATTTTCATGTTTCTTCCGTCCCTTTGTTCATTAAGCAAAGTAGACGACGTATGTTCATGAGAAGTGCCTGGAGGACTTGTTAACAACACACCACTGGGCTCTGCTTATAGAGGAGGAGAGAAGCAGGACCAAAGAACTTATACCTCTAACTCAGAGTGCCCAGATGGTCCTGATGCTGGTCCAGGGATCACTGTGAGAACCAGTGGTCCGGGATGTTCTTCGCTTTTTGCCAGGGTGGTCAGTTTTGATTTATATATTTTGAATGATAAAATAATGAAAGTGTACTGTTTGAGCCCTGCTTTGCAAAGGGAACCATCTAATGCCCAAGCTTTCTGAGTAGCCATTGAGAATGCTCTTTGCCAGAGCAGACTTTGAAGGCTTAGAGGTAAGGACAGTGCTCCTACAGAGGAAGGAGAGCATAAAGAAGTTAAAAAAAAAAAAAGAGAGAGAGAGACTGTGATTAGTTTTATGCAGAGGTAGACTCCTTATCCCGAGACATTCAAGGGCTCCTTTGTAGCACTGGACATATACCTTCCTAAAAAGGCCACTGGAGTGAAGCTCTGGGATAGAAGATTAGACATGAGACCGGCGTTTATCATCATAAAAATTAAGTAGGAACACAGTTGTCAGAGTCACACAGGCAACTGTAAAAGACATTATTTAGCTACCCACTATTAAGAATTTCCTATCCTAGTGTTTCCTGTTTTTCTCATTGGCTGACTTTAAGACTTTGGCCTTTTCTTCTGAAACAGTACACCCCCGAGGAGCGTGACCCCGTGCCGCTGAGCATCCACCACATGCCCATCTGTGTCAGTTTTGCTTTCTTCCAGCAAGGGTGAGTGCTACCTTGTCATGTGTGGAAAATATAATTATACCTGGGAATTGGATTGGGTCTTGTAGCTCAGTTCTCTATATATCTGAGTTGACTATGAACTTCCAATCCTTCAGCCTTCACTTCCCAAGGGCTGGGATTACAGACAAGTGCCTCTGTGCCTGGTTTATATAGTGCTGGGGACTGGACTCTGGGCTTTGTGTATGGTGTATAACTCTCTGCCAGCTGAGCTATATCGGCTCCAAGCTAAGAACTTTATTGCTCTATTCAGATATGCATAGACCTGCTAGCCTTAATGTTAGATCATCTGCTGGTTTCTTCCTGTCTTTGTAAGGGTTTTCTATATAGAACTGACAAACTCAGCTGTCATGAATGTACCTCCCATCATTCCTCTGTTCACAGCATGCTTAGAAAGTAAGACTTTAATGTGGCAAGGTAGCATCTACCTTTCCCTGAGCTAGATAAATGCCTTGAGGATTATATGCGGGTTCAATTGAGATTGTGCATGGATTAAGGGTTACTATGGACTAATAAAACAATGGCAGTGTGAGGCATATTACAGGGAGTAGTTTCAGGAGCCCATTGCAAGGGGAAATGATTCACAAACCAGAAAACTTGCTTCCTTCAACTGTCTAGCCTTTTCTTCACAACTCCTGTTAAGCTCTCACGGTATAAACTAGGGAGGATTGTACATTTATGTAATGTGCTTCTAAGTGCATCTTCAGGAAAGGAGAGACTTCCTTGCATAAGAACTAGAGGAAAGATTTCAGCTGTTAGGCACTGTAGGTGATTCTCTATCAGGAACAGGATACTGCACAAGCAGGCAGACTCTAGAACTTAGAGGGCAGGCCCTCAGTGCCACTTTAAAATGAACAAAACCAATGTTACCTAAGTCTTTATCTGAACCTAGTGTGACTTCATTGTAATGGCCAGAGAGACATAGACTTTATGTAACTGAAGTTACTGAGTTGAGGTGATTCAAAGCCTTCAGTATTGACCTTGAATGCTAACTAAGAAATTAGACAAACCCATTCTCCTAGAAACAGCACCCAGCTTCAGATGTGTTCAGGATCATTTATCATTTGTTTCAGAACATATTTATTGGTGGACCCCAATGAGCGTGAAGAGCGAGTAATGGATGGCTTGCTGGTGATTGCCATGAATAAGCATCGAGAAATTTGTACTATCCAGTCTAGTGGTGGGACAATGCTGCTCAAAGACCAGGTTAGTGCTTTGACTAGTTTCCCTGTTAAGAGTTCTCTTTTCAGAAGTTTTATTGGTATTTCTTTTGTTTTTTGTTTTTTTTTAAAATATATTTTAATTTTATTTATTTATTTATTTATTCATTTATAAATTCACTTTATGTCCTGATCATAGCCCCTTCCCCTCTCCCAGTCTCACCCCCACAAATCCCTCCCAACATTGCTTTCTTACCTTTTCCCTAGGGAAGGGAAGTCCCCTTTGGGTACCACCCCACCCTGTGGGATCTAGTGACAGCAGGACTAAACACATCCTCTCCCACTGAGATCCAGCCAGGGAGTCCAAGTCAGGGCAGCACACCCGATGGCAGAGAACAGAGACCGAGATAGCCCCCCTTCCACTTGTTAGGGGAATCACATGAATGACAAGCTGCACATTTGCTACTAATGTGTAGGGGCCAAGGTCCAGCTCCTGCATGTTCCCTGATGTCTTAGTTAGGGTTTTACTGCTGTGAGCAGACACCATGACCAAGGCAAGTTTATAAGTAAAGGACAACACTTAATTGGGGCTGGCTTACAGGTTCAGAGGTTCAGTCCAGTATCATCAAGGTGGGAACATGGCAACATCCAGGCAGGCATGGCGCAGGAGGGGCTGAGAGTTCTACATCTTCATCTGAAGGCTGCTAGTGGAAGACTGACTTCTAGCCTACACCCACAGTGACACACCTACTCCAACAGGGCCACACCTTCTAATAGTGCCATTTCCTGGGCCGAGCATAGGCAAACCACACACACCTACTCCAGCAAGGCCACACCTCTTAATAGTGCCATACCCTGAGCCAAGCATATACCAACCATCACATCTGATTAGTGGCCCAGGCTCTGTGAGCTCCCATCGTCCCAGGTTGGTTGTCTCTGGCTTTTCCTGTGGTGTCCTTTGCCCTCCATCTTGTTTGCTTCTATCCACCACTCTTCCACAAGTCTCCCTGAGCTCTGCCTGATGTTTGGCAGTGGGTCTGCTGCTGGATGAAGCCTCTCAGGAGACAGATATGCTAGGTTCCTGTCTCCTAAAAGCATCTTTTAACCAAAAGCCACAAGGGTACTTTAGATGACTATGTCTAGTTATGTTAGAGTCTAGTACAGTACAGTCCTTACATGGTCATGTAATATCAAAGTGTTCATGAGGTATCCTTTCTTTCCTTGCCTCTCCATGTATTTGTCCTTCTAGAAAAATGGCTTTCAACCTTCTTAATGTTGCCGCTCTTTAAAACACTACTCATATTGTGACCCCAGCCATAAAATTATTATTATTATTTTATTTTTTTTTGGTTTTTCGAGACAGGGTTTCTCTGTGCAGTCCTGGCTGTCCTGGAACTCACTCTGTAGACCAGGCTAGCCTCGAACTCTCGAACTCAGAAATCTGCCTGCCTCTGCCTCCCAAGTGCTGGGATTAAAGGCGTGCGCCACCACTGCCCAGCATAAAATTATTTCATTGCTACTTCATAACTGATTTTGTTGCTCTTATGAATTTTAATGTAAATATCTGATATGCATGATATCTGATATGCCACACACACATACACACACCCCAGAGGGGATGCAACTCCCGGGTTTAGAACTACTCTTCTAGGATTTAGCAAAGAACCCAAGCCAGTGAACAAAGATTCATATTACTATTTTTAAGCACTGAATGTAGAAATTAAGATAAAAATAAATTTTACTTTTAGAATTTGGATAAAAACAGCCGTGATACTCAAACTCAGCCACCTATCAGTATCACATGGAGGATATTAGTATTAGAAAATAGAGTGCCATGTAACATCTATTATAAATATTAAATGCTAGGGAGAGGTACTAAATCATATTGTAACTGAAGTTCGTAGCTTTTGGGCCAATGACTTGTCTCTGTGTCTCAGTGTGTCTGTACATTAGGAAAGTATTTTATTGCTGGCACCATAGAAGCGACTGAAGTGTTAGTATGTAGGCATCTGGATACAGAGTGCTCGGTGAATCCCGTTTCCATTACTGTCACCAGCACCATTGGTATTAGGATTGTGACCACTATTGAGTCCTGTGTATTATTGTCACAGAAAGGAAGTCTGTATTTCTGAGCCCATTTTATCTGTGGTCTCTGTAGTATTTTCGTACTTTGTCTTAGTTTTATTTACCATGCCTTAATCTGGTATGTGGAAAAGAAATACTTAAACTATAAAGGTAGAAAATTGATGTCATGGTTTTGGGTTCATTAAAAATAGCTGTTTGGTTTGTCGTCTGTAACAGCCCATATTTATAAACAGGTTTTCAGATGCAGTAAAATAGCTGGTGTGAAAGTAGCAGAGATCACAGAGCTAATACAGAAAGCTTTGGAAAATGACCAGAGAGTTAGGTAAGTATCAGTTTTCAAAACTGTATGCTCTTTAAAGTCATGTTTTCTAAGTTCTTCTCACTCAAGAGCAGCCATATAATTTCATACTTGCTCTTAGTTAATCTCAGTTGTACGTACTAGTGTTTAGTTGAGACTTTATTCTAAAAAGTTATAGGAGTGTTTTCTTTAAAAGTTCTGAAAGAAGAATCTAATAACTTTTTTTTTTTTGTTTTTTTGTTTTTGTTTTTGTTTTTTGAGACAGGGTTTCTCTGTGTAGCCCTGGCTGTCCTGGAACTCACTCTGTAGACCAGGCTGGCCTCGAACTCAGAAATCCACCTGTCTCTGCCTTCCAAGTGCTGGGATTAAAGGCGTGCACCACCACTGCCCAGCAGAACCTAATAACTTAATAGAACAAACATGGTGGCTCGCAGCTCAACGTTCTGTTACTTTTAAGCAACGTGAGTGTTCTTGGTTGTTGTGTGGAAGCCTGGTCCCTTCTGCTCCAGCTGACTTGAGAACTAGAGAATATACTTCAAGTACCTCATACCTGTGCAGCAGAGGCTCAGTAAATAGCTATGAGGACTTTTATGTCTTGATAACTAAGTAGTATTCTAGTGTGATTCCTGCTGCTGTGATAAAACACTGACCAAAAGCAACTTAGGGGAGGAAAAGATTTATTTGGTTTATGCTTCCAGATCCCAGAGTGCTGGTGGTGAGGACCCTACAGTTAGACCTCCTCACTACCATGTAGCATTACCTCTAATCAGGGAGCTCACTCAGCCAAGGAGGTACAGCAGATCCAAAGGAATGCTGATTGTTGGCTTACAGGCTCATGCTCAGCTGCATTTCTTTTACAGCCCAGGGAATGGTGCCCCTCATAGTGGGGTGAGCCCCCTTTGATGATTAACAGTCAAGATACTCCCTCACTGATATCTGGTCTGATCAAGGCCTCCCTTTCAAGTGACTCTAGGCTGTGTCAAGTTTAGTTAAAGCTATCAAAAGTTGACCAGTGAAGCAAGTCTATTTCTTATCTACCAGAGACAAAATAGAAACCTTTTTCTTTTGTCTTTTTATCCCCAAAACAACCACTACCAAAAACCCATCTACAGGAAAGAAGGTGGAAAGTTTGGCTTTGCAGAGTCTATAGCAAATCAAAGAATCACAGCATTTAAAATGGAGAAGGCCCCTATTGATACTTCCAATATAGAAGAGAAAGCAGAAGAAATTATTGCTGAAGCTGAACCTCCTCCAGAAGTGTATCTTTATTCAGTGGTTTTTACAATAATAAGATGCATAATTTTTTGTTTTGTTTCTTTAAGGCTAGAGTGTACATATTGAAATTTGTTTTGGGAGAACTTGTACTATAAGAGAAAAATATGCCAAATTGAGCTGATAACGTAACATTTAGCTTCTCTTCATTATCTCAAAAAAAAAATCATACATTTTTCTATTTAAGAACCAACTTAGAGCTGGGGGATGTAGCTCATTGGTGCTGCACTTTTCTAGCTATGCTTAAAGCCCTGGGTTCCATTCCAGCACTGTAAGAAAATACAAATAAAAATCCAGCATTCATTCCCCTTTGAGAAATGGTGCTTAAGTATTAATGACATGGCCAAGTTCTTTATGAATTGCTACATAATCTGCAGATCATGTGCAATTATGTCAGTCAGCAGCCCATAGAATAGTTTTAATTCCTAAGAATTTGTGGAACACATGAAGCAGTCTTACAGGAAACTTGATCTCTTCTCAATAGCCCATTAAATAGCAGTGTTTTAGATTTCTTAACTTGTTAAAGTGTTTCTAAACCTGTCCTGTGGACTCCTGGAACTGCCCAGATTGGAGAAGGAATAGAGAACTCCTGGGGTGACCTTGAAGATTCTGAGAAGGAAGAGGAGGAGGAAGGTGGCATTGATGAAGCTGTCATTCTTGATGATACAAAGATGGACACTGGAGAAGTTTCTGATATTGGGAGCCAAGGTAGTGATGCTTTTAATGTGTACAGAGACAGCTATAATTGAGATATTTGAACTATAGATTCAATTTTGTATGGAGATTATAGATCACATAGGGATAGGGATATTTCCTGTTTGGAAGGCTAAATATTTTGGGATTTAAACTAAATTTTAAATGATTGAAGTTAATAGAAATATTAATACCATTCTAACTAAAAGAATGTTTTTATTTCTGTAAACTGGTGGTATGCTTTGGCATACTAGTGATACTTTTAATTGAACAATTTTTAAAAATTACATGTAGCCAGGTGTGGTGGAATACACTCTTAATCCCTGCACTGTGGAGACATAGGCAGGAAAATCTCTGAGTTTCAGGCAGCAGGATTAGAGATCCTGTCTCAAAACCAAAAATGGGCATTTAAAGATTTTTGAAAAGATTTCTTTCTTGCCAACAGCCTTGTTTAGTTTGATTCAAATATAAAAAAGCTCATGACATGGGCCAGAGAGGTGGTTCAGCAGTGGAGACACTTCTTGATGCTCAAAGAAGTTTGGATCTAGTATTCCAGCTCCAAGGAAACTGACACCATCTTCTGGCCTCTGTGGGTGCTAGCACAAAAATTCTAAACAAAGTATGGCACAGTACTGCTCAGTAGAATTTTCTGTGGTTAGAAATGTTACTGATGTACATTGGCTAGGGTAGCATAGTAGCCACTGCTGCTCACCTGTTGAAAATGTTCAAGTCTGAGTCAGTATATATCTTTTTAGAGTATTAGAACATGGGAAACTTTAGAAGCCCCCAGAAATGTAAAACATTTTTACATTTATATAATGTATATCTATGTGCATGAGAATGCCAGGGTATGCAGAGGAACTTGCTGGAATCCCAGGAAGTTGTGAGCAGACTTCTTACTAAATGTGTGCTACATATGTGAGTGCCTTAGAGGCTAGACTCAGGCACTGGAGTTGCAGGTGACTGTGAGCTGCCCCTGCACTCTAATAGAGAACATTCTGCCTGCTTCATAGAAGGGAATTGTTACAGCCTTTGGTGGTATTGTTTTGGCAGGGGAACAACGTTGGTTTAGTAAATGGGTAAGTTAAAAATCCTAATTAATTAGGACTATTAAATGCTGCAGAGAACTATCATTAGTAATGCTATTTTAGTGCTATTATATATATATATAACCTTTTCACAGAGGCTTTTTTTTGTTTGTGGTTTTAAGAATCCTGAGCAATTAAAAGTGGAGCTGAGGATAGTGGAAAAGGTAGATTTTAGAAATGTAAACAAAGAAAGTTGAGACAACACACAGCCAGCCAAATGGGCATGCTTTATTTACACACACATATATAATTACTGTTCAAGAGAAAAATGGGCAAACAAAGCAGTTTCCTACATTTTTCATGGTCAGGTCAGCCCTGGTAGCAAGAACCAGATCAAATAAAACATCAATTTTTACAAATTTTCAGACTTGTAAGATTTGTAAAGTGTCAGCCTCCAAGCAGCATAGCTTGAGCTCTCTTAGCATGGAAATGGAAGCATTAGGGCTTCTGATGTGGTTAAGTAGTAAACTCCTTTTTTGGAATTTTCTTAAAGGTGCCCCTATAGTGCTATCAGATAGTGAAGAAGAAGAAATGATCATTTTGGAGCCAGAGAAGAATCCAAAGAAAATAAGGTAACAAATTTTGGTCTCTTTCAAATATCCATTAAAAATTGGTTCTATAAAAATGGGGTACCTTTCAGAGTCCCTGTGACCCAATCCAGGACCGATGGGGTACAGCAAGCTGTTATATTACTTTATTTACAGAGCTCAGACCAGTACAAACCAGAAGGCACCAAGTAAAAGTCAAGGGAGAAGGAAGAAAAAGAAGAGAACTGCTAATTAGGCTACAGTGGTGGATTTGTATGTGTGTATACTATACAGCTACTAAGAGGAGGTCTGCTCAGTGCTAACAGCTCTGGATGCTTTTTATTATAAGCTGAACTTGATAAACTGTTTTTGTCTTTAACATTATACGTTGAATAAACTTTCTGGAAAACTTTTTGCTGTACAAAAGCTTCCCAGCTCATGTGAAACCTTATTTGTAAAGGTTGATAAACATCTCTTTTTGTAAAAGTTGATAAATAAACTTCTGTAAACATGAGAGCCAAGTGAGTTCTGCTGCACCGACAACAGATTGGTTTACTTTTGGTTATTTATGACCAAGTCAGCAATTTAGTTGGTTGCTTAGAATGATCAAATACAAAATTTGAAAATTTGTCAGAATTTGAAGGTCTCTCTCTGAAATTTCAGTCCTACCCCCCACTGAACAATAAAACAAATCAAATTAGCATCTAAGTGACATTATCATTCATTACCTCAAATTAACTTTGACTTGCAAAGATTTCCAAATCAATTTATTCTTATTATCCTGACAGTTGGCAGCACCAATGCTAACAAACCAATTAAAATGATCCAAATATCTAAGATAGACACATGTACAAAAGATATACAAATTAAAACCATTTTAAAAGCAATGGATACCATAATTTGTCTGTGGCTATACCATCTACATTTAGAATGATTGTGAAATTAAAACCCAAGATAAAAACTGTACAGGATGAATTCTGAGCAACTCCCATTTCAAACGAAGGCAGTCAGTCTTTCATTTTCACACATTTAGTGTCTCTGGTGGGTTGAGAAGAGAAACACTGTGATATCTGTTAAGCAGAGAAAAAAACCTTTTTAGTAAACATTCATCGGGGAGATCACAGAACAATTCATGTACCCCAAGATTTGATAACTTGGAACACATCTGTTCCCTTACCTATCACCAGAAGCAAAGGCATAAAAAAGCTTTTCTAATATATGACTTAAGATCTTACTGAGATAGCTGTGGCAATTATTAAAGAATACAGTAAGTAAAGAATAGGATTCTTACTTTGAATGCTTGTACTTTTCCCTTATGGACTGTTGGGCATGCTGTGGTGCTTTGAGGTAGGTCTGGTGAAGGTCCAGGAGACAAGGCTTGAGACTTTCTAGGGTATATCCAGTCTGTTGTACCAATGACTCAGGCTACAGAGAAGGGACAACCAGTGAGTTTTTAGTAACAGCATAGGTCACTGACCGTGAGCTCACAGTTGATCTAAATGTTGGCACTAATCTTTAACAGAGTGTTTTATAAAAATAATAATAATTTATATTCCAGATGTTGCCCCCCAATTATTCACCCCCCACCCCCTTTGCCTCTGAGTCACTCACTCCATCTTTCATTTTACTTCCCCTGCTAGCCGCAGGTAGATGGCTTAGATTCTGGAAGCAGAGCTTTCAAATGCAAGTTTATGGTTAAGCTTTCTGCCCAAATCAAAGCAGAACCCATACTGGTGAAGGCAGCTGTCCATACATACCCAGCTCTGTCCTGTGACTGTGTAGAGAGCCAAGTGAAAGGCAGCTCCAGCGATAAGTGACGGCAAGTACTTGAGGTATGGCTCAGCATCTATCAAACTTAATTCTCCCAAAAACTGAAAGACAAAACCCCTCAAAACTTTATAATCACACATAAGACTCAGACTTTGAATCCTTGCTTCCTGACCAGTTTCTATTGTCTTGGATATGCACTGGTTCTGTATCAGCCCTGGGGAAATTGTTTCAATGTTTTGCTCTATTCCTCCACTTACATTTCTCCCCCCAATCTACTAGGTTGTTCTCTGTAAACCACTAGTTAGTGCTTTTCCAGCATGGTCACCTTTGGGTATTCACTGGAAGATTCTCTCCTGGACCTCTCAGTCCCTATCCATGGACACCAGATAACTTAAGTCTCATATAAAAGATATATGCCATTTTCATAAGTCAATACTATATGCATAGACTATCACTAAATTACTTGTAATACAACAAAATAGAGAATACACGATTGGTGTGTGCTCATCTAGTAGATAGGCAGTTACGTTTAACGACTGTTTATTGATTCCATAAGTGCAGAGCCCACAGCTATAGAGGGCTATAGCATTTTCTGTATAGTGGAGCATTAACTGTCAAAAACACTTTATCTCTTAAGCAGTGTTATACACTGAAACTAGGCTTGCCCCTAATTGCAACTTAAAAACAAGCCCTAAATTGGACTTACCATTGCTAAGCTTTCAACCTTGCAGTTTGCAGGCTGCAGGTGCAGGAAGTACTGGGTAAGGAACTGATTTACTGTTGGTGCAGCCAAGTCAAAAGCAAGGACTTTCAATACTAGGTGCTCCATTCTCAGAACCTGCTTCTTAGAATAGGTATCGTCTGTAATATACACAAACTCCGCTACTTCTGGGGGGTAAATTTCTTCAAATTTCCTATAACAAAAAAAAAAAAAAAAAAAAGAAAAAGAAAGAAAGAAAGAAAAATTGTGAGTTTTTCTCAAAAGAAGGTAGATCTTGTGTTAACCTTAGCTGCATAGACTGCAGACTCTTCACTTCCTTCAACCACATTCCCACTGACAGTCCACTGCCATCTCTAGCTGAGAGGAGTAAAAACTTCTGATTTGTCTCCTGAATACAACTTATTTCCTGATGGAAGGAAGATATTGCTTATACCCCAGAAAGCACTTTATTGTAGAAGAGCCACACTTTCAAACTCTCAATCTAGTGTGATAAAATGTGGTTGCTCTATGCTCATTCAAGGATGTGAAAGCTTTATATTTTAGATTAGAAAACAAGTTTCACCCTCTATTCAGAATAACCCTACAGCTGTTCCTAAAGTTGTCAGTGTAAAACGGGGTTAAAGAGATGGCACAATGGTTAGAGCACTGGCTGGGACCCAGGCTCAATTCTCAGCACCCACATAGTGCTCATAACTGTATTAATACCAAAGCTTAGGGGGCCCAATGCCCTCTTTTGGCCTCAGCAGGCACCACACTCGTGCTACAGATGTACATGCAGGAAAAACATTCAATAAAATATAAATGAGGGTAGGAGTAGTCAGTGATGACTTTGAACCAAATTATCTGGACTTACGAAGCTAGCAGCATAGCAGCTGTGCCCACAAGCTGAAGCTTTCCTCTTAACACGGACATGGAGGACAGGAATCTATCAATGTAGTTCACAGCCAAATGCAGGGTCTCATTCTGTAGTTTATATTCTTCTCCCACTTCAACTAGCCAGTCCACAAGGATGGCCCGCATACTGTTGGTGATGTCTGGCTGCCTCTTCATATAACCCACTTTAGGTTTACATTTAACCTGAAGAAAAACAACTCAGTAGTGTTAATTAGGTTACTAGGTTACTCACTATTCACAAAGATGCTATTAACATACACTATAATCTTACATTTAGCATTAGAGTAACTTGCTAGTAGTTAGCAGGTGCCAACATTATCCTCTCTACTTCACTTAGCCGTTTTAATGAACAGAGCCTTACCTCCATTTCCCTAAGGTATGTGTGAATATCTTCGTGATAGTCAGGTACTTCATTGACATTCACTGGCTTTTCATCTTCTAAGACAATAGACATATCCATACCATGTGGGGATTCTGTGTATGATATTAAAGCCAAAAGTATTTATCTCTTCAAATTAAAAAGACCCTAATGGCAAAGCAACATAGAATATCTTACTCTGGTTTTAGGACTTCTGTCAAAGCCCTAGGATAACTTTGATCCCAAAAAAGAAATAAATGTACACCAATAGGCTACTAAGAGGACTGGGAGTTACTTTATCAAGAAATGAGCAGATGATACAATGGGTTCTTTTATCTTTTAGGACAAATACTTAACAGTAAAGGTTTAAAATAATTATTACTTTTTTTTTTGTCTTAAGAGAGATTGCAGCTTGGGAGGCAGAGGCAGGCGGATTTCTGAGTTCGAGGCCAGCCTGGTCTACAGAGTGAGTTCCAGGACAGCCAGGGCTACAAAGAAAAACCCTGTCTCGAAAAACAACAACAACAACAAAAAGATTGCAGACCCCACAGGTTCATAATGGGGGAGTACCTAGAATCAGGTAAAGAGCATGTATTAACAAATGTAAGATATCAAGTTTATCATTATCATGTTTAAAAAGTTTAACTATAGTCTGTCAGGGACTTGGTGTTTGTTAAAACAGGGTCTTATTCTATAGGCTAGCCTGGCCTGAAATTGACTCTGTAGCCTAGTCTGGCAATCTTGCCTCAGCCTCCTGAGTGCCACAATCCTTAGAATTTATAGGCATCACCATTTCAATTATCTTGAGATGGGGGAATCTGTGTAATAAATTGTTTCCATACCCTCCTTCCCCATCATCAGAACTAAGTAAACTAAAGTGGCTGGGAAATGGCCTAGTGCCGTGCCTGCTGCACTAAGATAGGGATTGCATTCCCAGCACCACACAGGAGCTAGATATTGTGGCATTATCTGTAACCCTAGGACTGGGCGAGGAAAAAGGGTTGAGAATAGTCATATCCCTGTAGCTTGATGGCCAAGCTGTCTAGCCCAATCAGTGAACTCCAGTGAGACCTTTTTATCAAGAAATGAAGTGGAAGAGTGGTTGAAGATACCTCAAAGTCAAGTACTCCTCTAGCCTCTACATGTACCAGCACAGGTGAGCATACCCCTTCTCCTGACACACACACAGCATAAGGTAGACAGTGACAGATACCAACATCTCTGGTCTCCACACACTGAGGTCATAGCAACTGCAGAGCTGTCTACAGCAGCTATTTTGCCTTCCATGTGTCTGACCTGCAATCTGATGAACATTCAAATTAGTTTTAAAGCAGATATCATAATCCTTAAAACTGTAGTCTCGCTGGTGGCACGCGCCTTTAACCCCAGCACTTGGGAGGCAGAGGCAGGCGGATTTCTGAGTTTGAGGCCAGCCTGGTCTGCAGAGTGAGTTCCAGGACAGCCAGGGCTACACAGAGAAACCCTGTCTCGAAAAAAACAAAACAAAACAAAAAACCCCAAACAAACAAAAAAGTAAAAAAAAAAAAAAATAGAGATCTGATATCCTTTCTAAGCCCACTGTAGTAATCTTAACTCACTGTGTTATGGCCAGGTAAGATATAATCTTAAAACTCAAAATATCACTAACCCAATCAAGTAACTGTATTTCTTAGCTTAATAACAATCTTTAGAATGTACCAAGCAAGGTATGGTGTCACAGGCCTGTAATCTAGAATTTACGAGGCTGAGACAGGATAGTTTGAGTTCAAGATTAGTCTGAGCTACAGATTGAGATCCTGGCTGGGCGGTGGTGGCACGCGCCTTTAATCCCAGCACTTGGGAGGCAGAGGCAGGTGGATTTCTGAGTTTGAGGCTAGCCTGGTCTGCAGAGTGAGTTCCAGGACAGCCAGGGGTATACAGAGAAACCCTGTCTCAGGAAGAAAAAAAAAGTGGGTGGGGGGACTGGAGAGATGGCTCAGTAGTTAAGAGCACTGTTCTTCCAGAGGTCCTGAGTTCAAATCCCAGCAACTACATGGTGGCTCAGATTGAGATCCTGTCTCAAAAATAAAAAGCAAAGGCTTGGTGGTGGTGGCACATGCCTTTAATTCCATCACTTGGGAGTCAGAGGTAAGTGGATCTCTTAGTTCAAGGCCAGCCTAGTCTACAGATTGAGTTTCAGGACAGTAAAGGATACTCAAGAAACTCAGAGGAAGGGAAAAGACAGAAAAGGGGGAAGGAAAGAAGAAAGAGACTGCTAATAAAAAGCAACCTTACCAAAACTACCATCCATTGGATAATCAAGAGGTGTCAGTGGTTTTCTTGCTCCGGGTAAAGAGACAGCTGCATTAAAAGCCAGGGCATCTTCACACTCTGTTTCTTTAAGCTCAGCTGGCCTCTTCTGAGTCTCTTCTGCTTCATCCACATGAATGGTGAAGGCAGGCTGTTTACTGACTGCTTTCCATGAAGGACCAGCAGCGACATGCTCATCGTTTATAGGAAGGTCCTTAAGAGGCGCAACCTAAAGAGGAATTTTTTTTTAAATACAACTTTGCTTCTTGCTCTGTGGGCATCAGTTTTTATTTCCAAATACTCTAAGAAAGCCTAGGTAAGGTGTCTAAACCGATTTGTCTAAAAAGACTATACATAGAACGAACTGGAATTCCAAACTAATCAAAGACCAAAGTTAGGGGAAAGATCTGATTCAAGACTTTAGCCCCAGGGTGGAGCAAAACAACAAGTATGGCTAAAATGGCGGAATTTACCAAGCAGAATACTTGCTTTATGTCCTTCCCTGAAGTAGCAATCTGTGAAGCAGATGGTGAGGGGGAAGGGATGACCATCCTATGGCAATGCCTGGCTTTAAAAGTGGAGGGAAAGGTACACAGCTGGGGGAAGTCGACACGCGCGGGTGGCATCGCTTGGGATGACCCCGGGCATTTTTAGGAAGACCGCGCCACTATTGCTGAAGGGGCTATTTGGTACTAGAAACCCCGGGACCGCGAAGACTTCAGCCCGACTTCCCTAGAAAGCTCAGCGTGCTTTCTGGCCCTCTCGGCTACTAAACCCAGGACCGCTCCCGCCCGGCCCTCCTACAGACCCCCGCGCCCTTTTACCCGCCGAGTCTTGAGCTTCTGCTGCGGCGCGGGTCCCCGCACGTTCCCGGCCTTAAGCACCGCCTGCGCCCGCGGCTGCTGGACTGGCGCCACATTTTCGGGGTTGACATTCTCCTGGTCTTCTTGATGCAACGAGAGCAGGGATGAGCCTGCCTGGCGACCAGGCTGTCTCGAGGTGCCCGGCATCGCGGCTCCAGTCGGGATCTGTCGGCGGCAGAGCGTGCACAGCGCCCGCCGCTCCCGGGCTGTGCGGGACCCGGCGGCCGACCCGCGGAGCAGGCACTGCAGACGGGAGGAGCGCAGAGTCCAGGTGCCGCGAGCTGCGCGCCGCCCGCCGGCTGTTCTTGTAGTTCAAGTAGCCCGCGACTATTGAAATGGACCAATAAGGGCGGCCGGGGTCCGTGACGTCACCAGGAGCGCCGGTCGCCGCGAGCAAAGGCCCGACGGGAATCTTTTAGGGCGGGCGCCTGAAGACGCGCCTGCGCAAGGAAGGGCGGGGCGGGCGGCAGCCTTTGGCTACGCCTGCTGCTCAGTGGGTCTCTAACCTCACGGGATCCTGATAGAGAAGCTGGGCGATCCAGAAAAGCCCTCGGGGCCTCGAAGTGTCAGCATTTCCCTCAGCTAATGGGTGTAGCGACTTCCCCCAGTCGCTGGGTAGCGCCTAGGCAGAGCGTACGGAATCGGCTGACTACCTCCTCGTTACCAGGCACCCTACCGGAACTTCCACTCCTTTCCCTCTCGGTGGTGCTACAGTTTACTTTTGCTTCGCCTCTCCTGTATATATTTTTGTTTGTTTTTGAGGAAGGGTCTCATAATGCAGTCACAATTGTCCTGCGACTCACTGATATCCGCCCGCCTCAGCCTCGCCAGTTCTGGGATTAAAGGCGTGTCACTGTTCCAGGCATTCCAGAAAACCCCCACCCCCATAAAGATGGATCAATTTAAAAATGCCAATTTAACATGCTTTACTGATCTCGGACTGTTTTAAGGAGACATTTCTGAGGGACTAGATCCAAATATATCTGTGGGTATAACAACATTTTGAATGTAGTTAAAAATTATGATGATTTAATAAAGTAGTGAACTGGGTGCTCGTCCAGAGCAGATTCCACTTTTATAGATAGAAGCCACAAATTTGAAAGAGAGCAAGGAGAGTGTAGGGGACGGTATAGGATAGTGAAAAGAAGGGAAATGGCATAATTATATTTTAATTTCAAAAATAGAATTTTAAAAATTGAATATACTTTAATATGTTTTCCCCTTTTTTTTCATGGTAGTGTAAAACAGTACTATCTTGGATAGTACTTATACAGATAATTATCCTCACTAACTTCTACAGTTCTTTCCCAAAATTCTTTTGAAAATTTTTTATAAAGCCTTCATAAAACCATTGTTGCATTGGCAATTAAAGATAATTCTAGAACCCTAACTTTTTCACAGAATCCTCCTCTGACATAATCATAACAAACTACACTATCTTACACCAAGTTGTTCCCTTCCTGACAGGAAGCTGACTTCTGGTATTACAAAAGGGCAGTACCAAGCTTTGTCTGAAAATCTAGACCATTCCCCCTGTCCAGTGATTGCACAGAATCCTTCTCCTTTAGGAGATCTGCCCTACAGTGAAGCCAGTGTAGGCATTATCAGACACCGCTGGCACCTCTCTGGAGCCACTGATCCTTTACTTACTACCCAGTGCAGGGTCTGGTCTCTCCCTAACTACTTGTGTCCATGTGATCAGTTCTCAAACAGCTGGTTTTTTCCTTTCTTTGAAAAAATAAAATCCTCCAGCCACTACTACTTAAGTCCGTTATTCATTTCCCCATCTTTTGAAAGATGACTCCTTTGCATCTGCATTGCCAACAAAGTAGTTACTCTACTGTTCCTTCTTGTGCTTTCATCCAGGCAAAACAGTTTATTATTTACAAGGCTAGAAATTTTATTTTAACAATTACTGTCAGTTTCTTCCACTCCTAAACCCTTCAGTTTCTTTTTGTTTTTAATTTTTTTATTGGACATTTTATTTACATTTCAGATGCTATCCCCTTTGAGCTATTGTTGATACCAAATGGTGTATTACAAGAAATTCAAATGCCCATTAATTTTGCTAATCCTTGGTTGTGACATCAGACAAATAGTAAGTACACCATGAAGTTCCACTGACCCAAATAGGTATTTCATTTAGAAATGAAGTGCATGATGGTATATACCTTTAATCCCAGAGTTCCAGATCTCTGAGTTCAAGTTAGTTCCAAGTCAGCTATGTAGTGAAATGATGTCTCAAAAGTAGAAAAGCAGCCAGGAGGCAGTGGCCAAGCCTTTAATCCAGGCAACTCAGGTGACAGAGGCAGGTAGATCTCTTTTGAGTTAAAGGCCAGCCTGAACTACAGAGCTAGTTCCAGGTCAGCTACACAAAGAAATCCTGTCTTGAAAACCAAACCAACACCCCCACACCCCCCCACACACACACACACGCACAGAGGGAGAGGGAGAGGGGGAGGGGGAGG